AAATGGGCTAGGGCGATGAGAGGTCGAGCCCAGCCCTCGAAACTCACGCCAAATTTTCCCTACTATGGGCCTATCTAAATTATTTCAGTCAGTATATTTGCTCTCTACATTGTGCCTAAGTGAACGTTGCACTTAGGGTACTTAATGGCCTGTGTCTATTTCTATGAACAAACTCAACTTAAGCGATGGATGGAGATTCAGGTGCGTTTGATCTAAATTAGAAGACAAAACAGTGAAACAACACATGTTCAGATTTAAAAAACTGTTGTTGAACATCCGCGATAATGAAGAGATAGTCGCACTAGATACTACCAAACCTGAGATTTACTTCGTTCTTTTCGACTAGCAGAGTAACCGAATGCGGTCTGAATAATACTGCATTGTATAGGTCGAAACATGGGATGAATTTTTTAATATTCCATGTTTGAAAAGTGTAGAAATCTGCGTTGACTGCCCTACCGTTAGCCGGATTCAAAGAGCGTGTTAGAGAGTTTGTAGTGTGAGCCATGATTACTAATGGGAAGTCGGGTTTGCTATATGCAAAAATGACTGCCTTCCCCTGTGCTTTCAAAATAACAGACAGCAAGCAGTGTCTCCCGTTGCGCATGACTGACTGTAAAAGGATAGCCGCAGTCACTACTACCTAAGAAATACTGTTGGGAAAATCGGGATCAGAAATGTATTATAGCTCGGGTACAGGATTGTGTAAATCACATGGCAGCCGACTTTATCTCGCGAGTAGCAAATGTTGTTCGAGTCATCTTATTAATATCGTACGTAAATTCGTGTCCAATAATACTTACTACTTGCTGCTTATTGTGCTAAACCCCACAGTGTAAGTGGGGCCACTACAAGGAATCTTAAGTGATGTAGCTGGAAAGGATGCTTTGAAAACTTGAACATTATTCCTCAGAATCGGAAGGTCGCATGGATTAATAGGAAGATATAATTTTTTTGAAATTTAGCATCGAAATTGAGAAAGTTATATGAAGACAGATGCACATGAACATTGCACGATTCTCAAGAATATGAAATAGAGCAGCTTACGGTCCAGAATACTCATTAGAGCTGCTGTTTATTCTATATATCCTGGTCTACGAATGATTTGAGCGAATATTTGAACCTGTGGGTGATATAAGTGAGTTTGAAAATCGAAAATTAGCATTGGTTCGTTAGGTGATCAGTCCGCCAGTCATAAGGCAATCTGAGAGGGGTTGCTATACAATTAATTGACTAAGGCACGGCTTAAGAGAGAGCACACAGGCCAAGACTGGGAAAAAGGCGTTTTATGTGTGGAGGATGAGATCGCAAGTGTTAGTAGTCATAACTTGAAAGGGAGAATCGGGGTCAGCACATATTTTATGTGACTTGAAAGCTACCAAGGACCCAAGCGTATGTATTATAAGTTAGGAGAGTCACTGAGTTGTTATCGTTGGGAGCTCGTCTAATATATTAACCCGACTAATTATTTGATAACCTTGCTGACTAAAACTGAGAAAAGGTGATGAGGTCATATCTTCTCACACTTCCAATATTTCCCCTTGTCTGGCCACTTTGAGGCTCAAAGCCTAACCCGGTTTATGAATTTGGCATTGACGAAGTCCGTTTTGAATCCCTTATGCAATTTCATGTCCGACCCCCAAATTTTCCCTTCCATGACCGACAGTTCTTTTCTCTTTAAAAGCTGGTTAAACACACTCATTTTGACTTATTCAAGAAAAGGAGTTTTTTACTGCTCACTAGCCGTATTTCATAAGCACCAACTCAATACTCTACAGAGTATTTCTAATCTTTCTAAAATTAACTTCAACACATGCCCACGATCAACGCACATGGAACCAAAGTTGACTGATGAAAAAGTGTAAATAACTAGTCAAATTAAAATACAGAATTGCTATTTGGTAGTTCCTATCTTATTGGCGAACCCCAATAAGTAAGGTAAGTTGACAAGGGGTGTCTTGTAGGCAGAAATAGATGTTTCTTTTACTTCTATTGCAACAGATTTAACAACATTCCTGAGGTTCGTGGAAAGTTTATCCAATACCTCTTAGCTACATTTGCCCAGTAACTCAGAAATGTGAACCTCAGACCAAAACTAAAGTAACACGGTTATTTAATACAGCCGTGTCGAGCGAACGGAGACTGTCGAGGTGGTATAGTCTACAACACAAAGATTCCTAAATTAAAAGTCATAGAGGACGGAGTGGTTTGAACAACCTCTACTGCTGAGAATGAGCGCATAAGAGACTCTGCAAGCAGCTGCCATAAGCCTTCTCTCCAGGCAAGTTGAGTCTGCCAGTGCCCGCCGTTGAGTGTATTAGTCCAGAGCGCGTGTGTTTGCCCCTACTCTGTCTCATGTAATGTCTGCCAGTCAATCACAGAAGGAACGACGTTTTTGTCCTCGAACTCTCTCGAGGCTAGTAACAAACCTCGTGTGGTCGCAGCAGCGAATGGACAAGGGGCGTGAGGATGAAAAGAAGGCAGCGACACAAAACGCGACGGTCAAGAGCGCGGACTGCCACGCTATATCCGGCTAGACCGGAGGTAGTGTGTTGCGATGCCGAAGGAAATTTTCATGTCTGCTAAACATGTTCCGTCAAATGATCAGGAAAATAAACAGGCGTCCGCCACGGGTGATGTATACATAGACACAAAAATACTGAGCATATTTTATGGCCACAGTGTCAAAGGCTGAGAAGAGGATAATTACAATTAAGAGCAACGGACATCGAGGAAAATGGAGTACATGGGAAGCAGGGTTGTCGAGATCACCTCACTAAGCTATCACACGGTGGCACCAAACAGGAGTTCAGCGGCGCAGCAGTCAATTCCCGACTTGAAAGAGGAGCATATGTCAAACAGGGACAGGGGAGGCTGACCGTCCAGTTCTTCGGATCGTCTGCGGCGCGTACAGAGGTTTTCAACAGGCAGTGAAACCGTTCGACCATCCCATTGGATGCCGAACAATAGGCAATAGTGCCGAGGTTAGTACAGCCTACAAAGGAGAGAAGAGACTGGAAGAGGTAAGATTCAAACTGGGCATCACAATCAGTCGTTATTGTTGGGAGGCACCGAAAATGGTAACTCAAAAACTCACGAAAGCCTTGATTGCTGTTGAAGTAGCGACATCGGGCAGAGGGATAGCTTCCGGCCACAGGGTGAATCGACCAACACAGGTGGGGAGATAGGAGTATCCACTAGACACAGACAGTGTGTCTACGATGTCCAAATGGACGTGATTGAATCGCTAATCCAGAGAGGGGAAGGTAACAATAGGAGCATTGTTGTGTCGTTGGACCTTACTCCGCTGACACCCGGGACAAACCCGTGTTTATGCCACCTGATCATTGTGCATCCCAAGGTAGATGACGCAGCCGAAAACCAGGCTGTCGGTACGTGGACTCCCTGGGTGATAAGGGATGTACAGGGAGGAGAAAAACTTGCGGCGGAGGGATGGCGGAATAAATGGACGGTGGGAGGCTGTGGGACATCACAGGGAATGGTGCCATTAGCAGCAGTCAGTGGCAGGTTCTGGAGTTTGTGTCCGGAAACGTCCTCGTCGCAGGGAGAACCAACAAAACGTTGTTTGGCAACCATCTCAACCGGTCGATCGTAGGAGAAAGTTAGATATGCGCGATAAAGGGCCTGGACGTTGCGTCAGCCACCTCGTTTCTTGACCCGCCGATGTGGCGGATTTCTGAGGTAAACTGCCAGATGTAATGCAGTTGACGAATTTCCCGGGGGTTGGGCATATCAGACGTGGACTTGAGAGCGAACGAAAGGGGCTTGTGATCGGTGAACACACTGAAGTGCCTGCCCTCAAGGAAGTGCCGGAAGTGCTTCACGAAGAGGAAGGCAGCATGGAGCTCCCGTCCAAATGTGCTTCAGTGCGTCTCGGGAGGTGGTGACTTCCTGGAGACAAAAGTTAAGGGTTGAGTATGGCCTGCAAGCTGCTGTTAGAGAACCGCTCTAGTGCAGCATTGGAGGCGTCAGCCATGAGAAAGATGGGAGCAAACGGAGTAGAATGCATCTGGGCGGTGGCGTCGGTCAGGCCAAATTTTACCTTGTCAAAGCTGCAAGGACGTATGCGAAGAGCTTGAATGTGCGTTTGGGGTGTGAGAGGATGTTCGTGAGCGGCAGAACGGTGTCTACAGTGTTCAGAAAGAACCGGCGATAGAAATTCACCATGCCGTGAAATCGCTGCAACTGACGCTTAGAAGAGTGAGATGGGAAATCACATATGGCCGCAATCTTCAACCGAAGAGAATGGATGCCATTAGTGTCGACCGGATGTCCGAAAGTCATCTTTCCGGTAGCAGTTCCCTGGGAGACCCTGGATAAGAATATCTTATTGGAGTAACTACGTCCCAGTGCATCCTGATGTTTTCGCAAAGATAAACTTACAAAACCACATACATGATAATTCCCTTCAGCCGCTCCTTTTATCAAAGCATATATTTTACGCGCAGTCATATGCAAGATTAGTCACCTTTGGAGGGAGATAGTACCTTATAACCCTGGCAACATCGGAGAGTCTTTGATGCTCGGAACGAAAAATGCTAAAAAACTAGTTTCAGTCATTGTTTTCTGCTGATTCCATTTTGATGCCCCTAGTTTTCAGGTTATCCCGTCATCTTTTAGGCTTCTGATTCGCTTGCTGTTAGTTTCTTCTGTTATTCAATCATACTATCCTTACCAGGTCATCAGTGTGTTGACTTAATTATCGTAAAATGTTGGCACATCTTTCCTCTTGTTCACTATCTCCAACGAATCTAAGCTGTATGTCCCGGTTCCTTCTTTCGATTTAAGACCCGTAATGATTTCTTCAGAAAGTCTCCAAAATCTTCAAAGGTTCTGGGAATACAAGATAAAACAAACACATCCAAAGTTTGTCAATCCTTTACGATGTAAGTGGCGTTTGTTTAAGTTAGTGGGCACAGCTATCGAGCGCTGCTTGAATACTGGTCTAACGTGCTCCGGCTCGGTGTCTTCTGCAAATAATGGGTCGAGTTTACGGTCACGGAAAGGGTATATCTCAGAGCGCGTTGCCTTATAGAAGGTCCGTTCCTTCTTGGCAAAGGCTTTCCGCGGAGGAAGTGAAGGAACAAATCGCCAAACTTGCGCGAAAGGGTCTTACACCATCACAAATCGGTAATTTTTATTTTCTATCCTGACTAGACAACAGGTGTCATCCTTCGTGATAGTCACGGTGTCGCTCAGGTCAGATGGCTCACCGGAAACAAGGTTCTGCGTATCCTGAAGGCTAAGGGCCTCGCACCGGTCATCCCGGATGATTTATATCACCTGATCAAGAAGGCTGTCGCCATCCGAAAGCACCTAGACCGGAACCGCAAGGACAAGGATAGCAAGTTCCGCCTTATCTTAACCGAAAGCCGAATTCATCGCATCGTTCGATACTACAAGAGGAAGCGTGTCTTGCCGCCAAACTGGAAGTATGACAGCTCCACCGCCTCTGCTTTGGTTGCGTAATGAATTGCACTAATACACTTGTATTGGCATTGTCATCTTTTAAGGTTTACATACTCTAGACGCAATGGGGTTCTTGTTTCTCTGTACTCAACCATATGTTTAGTATGGAGGCCGTTCTGATTGTAACTTACCATTACTAACTGTTGGCTTTGGATCGTGCATACTCGCGAATGCCAAACTTCCTTTATGCGTAGCTAAGTTGCCCCTTGGGGGGTTGCCAACTTATATTCTAATTGTGTTTGCTTCATGCGCTCCCTCAGAAGGCAGCGTGGACGACGAACGGACTACCACAGGAAGATTGTGCTTTACATTTACTGTCTCATCTATGCGCCTTGATACGTTAAGCCAAATCTCCCATCTGTTCTTTCCTACCTTAGTGTGCACTTTGTTTGCCGTAATACACTTCATTAGTCGTGTGATGGTCAGCTGTGTTCACTGGTGGTACATTTTCATCTTAAAGATCTATCACATCCTGTTTGCTTCCGGGTTTACACGCTTTAGGTGAGGGTATTTCACTGTTCCGTCCACCGAGTCCAGTCGCATTCGGGTGTCCCGCCTCGGAATTGCTACCGACACGTAAAAGATGAGGGCTTAAAGCCGATAAGGTGGCTCGTACCCCTCATGAACACAGTACTGTCACGACGCGCTAGAGACTGTAGTTTTGCAGGTCGCCAGCTTATGGGAGAAATTTGTAGCCGACTGCCACGTCCCTAATGTGTTATTCACGACGAACTTAATGACGCCCGACTCGTCTGCATGGACTCGACCACGGTGCCTCTTTCTTTGTCATTGTGACATTCTGGATGAGAAGAGTAAGGTCGTTACTGTGAGGACAGCTCACAACAAATTTCTACGCATGTCAGCCAGTCAGCGATATTCCACCGTTTTTGCCAACTATGCGTGCTTCCCGCTTAGACAGATGCATGTTCTGCACTGCCTTCGATATAAACAGTTGGAAACCGTGATTCTAATATATCTTGAATTCCTTCTGAAGTGCTGTGTATATAGCTTGACCACATCAGAACCTATCTCGGTTCTGTCCGGTCACTCACCCGGGAAGCCTTTTTTGATAGTTTGAAGCTGAAGTCATCTTACGCCACCGTGCACTAATGGTCAGTTTTAATGGGTAACCTCTTCCCGTGTCCACTATCATTTTATGACCCATCCCATGTTTGCCGCCTGTCCAGCAGTCGCCTTTAGAACAAGCCATTTAATAGTTCAGACGGCCCGTACTTGTTCACCGGGCATGTCACTACAACGTAAATGTCTACCTGCAAGGGAATTTTGGACCTTTTCAGCCAGGCTATGAGCCCTGGAGTAAGTTGGGGCGTCTGTTTTGACCGTGTTGATCTATTTTTATGTTGACTACAGTGTTCTCGTCCAATACAAGCTTTCAGTTTGGAGATGTATTCACTTGAAGACTCGTGTTTCCCCATTTCAGAAGTGGCAACGAATCGGCCACCGTGTTTATGACCATTAATTGCCCCGTGTCACAGCTTAATGCCATCGCAAACGAGAGCCGTTCACGGTAGTTGGTCGTTTTTTGCTGAGCCCAAAGACCGCAAGATCAATGACGGAGTTTAGGTCGATCTCCACCATGCCCCGTTCTGCCACCTGGACGCCGTTGTCAGGCTGCATCGTGTTTGGATGAGTTGACGTTCCGAACTGTTGGACGCATCGCAAGGCCAGACCGTCAGTTTTGCGGAAAAGGAGGGCGCGGTCACCACTCTCTCTGATCTCATTTACGACCTTTCTTTGGAGACTCCGAAAAACCAGTGGATGTACTTAATACTTTAAAAGGATGGGCAATTCGCAGATTAATGATGATCGGAATGAATGAGTGCCCTGGGCTTTGTTCGTCTTTCAATTGAAGTACTAGAACTAAACGAGGGACGGAACAGTATTTAGTGAGACGAAACTTGATCAGGACAATAAGTTAGCGTGGGGTTCTTCCCGGTCAACAGATAAAGGGATCAAGGTGTCGACAAATTTGGTGGAGAGGTTTGCATACGATCAATTCTGGATGTCTGTTGCAAAGGCAGTACGGATGGACGCGTTATAGTAGCTGTTGCTTGATCATTTCTTCAGGTTATGCGTGTTGACATCGTCATGGCTATGCGCACCAACAGACTGCAGTCCACTGCATGCCAGCCAAAATTGTGTCGCTTTCCTGCTCAGTTTTGGGTGGACTATTAGGGGAACATAAAATGGCGTATTCGAGTATGAGTGTGACCGTCTCCTGACGACAATCGATGCTATCTTTCTCTTGGTAGCAAGCGCTCGAGCAGATACGGTTTCTCTGCAACCATCAAACAGTGTGTGACCGCACCGGGGGTTGCACTGGAGTGGATTATATTTGGACTTGACCACTCTTCAGCGTAACTCGACTAGGAGAGGTGAGCCACTCAGGGAGAGTGCCGCAGTGGTTGACCTCTGAATGTAGACAAGCTGTATGTCATGTGATGTTGACTTAGTATCGGTACACCAAAGTGACCTAAATGAGCGCAAGTCGTCTAGTATGACGGTTTCCTGATGAGTGACTGGTGACTTGTGGATTTTTTGAGCAAGTAAGAGAACCTTCACTATCTTGGTTTAAACGCTTTACCTGGCCGTTCCTCTGGGGACTGTACGGCGTTGTTCTACCGGATGACTCTTCCTTATCGCAGAGGAATTGCTGAACGTCGTTTGGTGTAAATGATGTTCCCCGATCGGTGTGAATGTATAAAGGTGTACCGGATATGGAGAAGAGCCGACACAAGAAACGGGGATTCGACTTCACGGGAGGTTTGACATCCAGCGGCGGTACAATGAATCTCTGATTGAAAACGGGGAAATCCTGGTTCGAACAAAGTGCGATAGCTGACAGACATCATGACACCAAAGTGATTTATGTAATTCATTCAGATCGATACTCCTTATCAGGGCCCACAACAACAAGAATGCGTATCCGCCGCTGTTTTGCTTATTAGGTCAATAAACAATATTGAATTTGAATGACGACAGCTTCAACCTCCAGCATTCGACCTTGTCATTCGTTACTTCCCCTCTTGTTGATTACCGTACTCAAAGGCAACAGAACGCTGATCTGTAGAGTTCAAAATAATTACAGGGAAAAGAAAGTGTTTCCACTTGCACATGGGTTCCGCGGTCTTTTTCTCGACTACTGGATGATGTCGCCCAATTGGGGATAGAACACTACTGGTCGGCTGCTCTGGTTCAGTGTAGCAGCATTGGTTTCGACTACTAATCGGGACAAGGGCATGACGTTGTGTGGCGCTGGTTAGAGTGGTGATGGCCGTGGATATCTTAGTAGGGGGTCTGTAAACTTTCCAGTTGTTTCGGAGTATTACTGAAGGGGGAGTGTGATTCTCTGAACCAGATGTGCCTATCAAGGGCTGGATATTAGTCCCGTTTATCTGTGGTCCACCCACTGAGTTTGAAAGGCAGCCAGAAGCAGTAGCCGACGCTACGAAGGAAATGGTCGGCCGTTTAGAGAGAATACCTTTCGGTTTTGTGGTGCCAGGTAGACTTGGGGAGTGCCTCTTTTTACCCTGCCCTTTGCATAACATGTCATGTGCGGGACAATTCGAACGGGTACGCTTGTATCCACAAGAGTGACTTGTTAGAGGTGAACTGGAAGCTCCTAGGTCAGGTATTTTGACAGGACTGGAGTGAGTTCGGCACATCTCAGTAGAGGTAAAGACTATCAGAGGGCTCCGGCAAGATAGACTTTGCCATTCCCAGTGACCTTGCCTGGTCAGGAGCTGTTTGAAAGTACAGAGTTCTCTGCCCCAATAACTTCTACCGGGGCTAGTTTGATGGAAGTCCAATTATGAACGCTTCGCTGATGACATCGTCATCATTCTGTTCTGTTGTAACGACTTTGAAATCGCAGTCCTGAGCTTGAGACTAGCTTTGGAGCAGACTGGTCAAGAGTTTGGCCGTTTTGTCTGCGGGTAGCTAGTAGATAGCAGATGTTCCGTTTTGGGGTCTTGAGTGAAGGTTTCACAGCAATCCAACAGCCTCTTCGCAAGTGAAGCATCCACTAGTCCATTCTCATACCGGGAGACGTTCATTTTTTCGTGGACATGAAGTTTCCAAACGTTCGGAACCAGTGGCTCCATCGTTTGAAAACGTCTGAAGCATTTAGGTCGACAACTAATTCTTCTGGCCAGAGAAGTCAACTTATTCTTGAGCTTCAAGATGAATAAGTTGTCGTAATAAGAATGACCTCAGTCACTTGAGTGGGATAGCATGAAAGAATAGGATAAGAGGATCAGAGTGAATGGGTACCTTGGAATTGGACTTTTCTTATCTTACAATTGATGTATCAGGACTAAAACATGAAAAAAAAACAGAGGTAGAATTTGGTCAGGGCAATAATTTAGCCCGACACAGATTCTCCCGTCTGCAGGGAATTAACAGGCGTCCCCGGCGGTGGGATTCGAGGCGAATATCCTCTTGTTTTACGACCAACTTCGGGTAGTTTTGGGCCCGTTTCGGGCACAGCACTGCGGACGTCTCCAGCGTAGCCTAAATCAGTAAAGCACAAAATATAACCAGCCGCACCGCCGTGACGGACTGCCACCGAATGCTAGCTAGACTGCATCCATCATCTAATTAAAGAAACAGTGAAATAGCACAGCCATGATTGATGCAGGTGATGACATAGAGGTAATCACTCCCATCATTACTCACGAAGGTCTTGATTCATCGTTTATGCTATTAGGCATGAATTACTCGGAGCAGCCTCGATGTAATGCAGTTGTGCGGTGCGATCGACTGCAGTGACTCCCAATGGGCGGGGGGAAAGTTCACGTAATGGACCAGAGTGGGTTGTTGACGCCAGTAACGGGGTTGCTGATTGACACTTTTCCAACTCGACTGATAGTTGGATGGACTCGTCTTTTCAATCGGGACATAGAGTGACGAATTAGAACCTTAGGCCTTGACACTAGTTCCTTTACAGCAGTCTGTCACTTTCCTTGAACGTTGGCTAA